CCACATCCCCAGGGGCAACTCAACCTGAAACTCAACCCAGAGGTGGTCTACCTCATCCTCTTGTGCCTCGGCTGGAACTACAGGGATGGAGTCCAAATCCGACCGAAACCGAGCAATTTTGTCCGCTAAGAATTGGGCATAATCCTCAGCTCTACCCTGCAAGGGTTCCCCCGTATCCCTCCTATTTAGATATCAATATGTGACCCAATTCCCGCCCCCTGGTAACCCCATCCCATAGTCCAATCTGCACATTCCTCAGATGTCATGTGGGAGACATTTTCAAAAAGCATCATCAAATTGGTATGCTGGACAGTTGACCTTGGTGGCAAATCCACTATCTGCAGCATGCGCAGTAGATGGTGAGAACAACTCCCTTTTTACAATCACTCCTGTACTGAATACTTCCCCACCCAAATACCATGCCCCCTCCCCATTTCAATGGCAGCCGAAAGCAAGTAGCAAAGCAGAGGCTGACAGAATTTCAGCTAACATAGCTGAGCCTAACTTCATTCTTGAATCATTAGTTGAAACTCTTAAATGTTATGCAAGCATTCGTGCTTACCAGTATGTGTGAGCAAAGGCTGAAGGAGAACATCATTAGTAATTACAATTTCCCCTGACAGAAAAGCTCCTGGCTGTGGAAGTGAATCATATATTGGAAAAGTTCATCCAAGAAGAAAAGCTTAGATGTCCACAAGCCAGTGCTATGCTTCGAATACAGAATTTTCTTTGGTGGACCTAAGCAGGTCAGACTTCTCTTGGGATAATATGTTTGGTGCATTATTAAAGGGAAAAGAAGATCATGCCCATTGGCATGTTGAATAAGATAATAAAATATTCAATTCTGGACTGCCCAAGGAAGATGAGATAATGAAGCAGCCTATCGATCAGCATCCTCAGTGAGGGGATGTACTCTTGAAATGATGATATTCCATCTCTCAAGTTTGAGTTCAAGGTTGAGGGGAAAGTATGACTTTCTTAAGGTACTTTCCTCTTGCTGAACTTTCCTCACATATCTCATTCATGCTTAATATCTTTAGAAACTATCTTTCCACCATCCAATGGCCACACTTGGATGGTAATGAGATGTTATCTTTCAGGCAGCAGCTCATCTGGAGTAAATGTTCAGCAACTTATGTTGGGATGAGTCACTGGCTTATTTTACCTGAATGATCACGGACTAGATAGAAATCCATAGTTCATTTAAATGTTTCTGTCATCACTTTAGCACCTGAACTAAAGTACCCACCACCATCCATCTACAGCCCAACTACCCATCCTTATCTCCAATGCCAGTGTTGCCAACCTGGATGGATAAGATGGATCTGGTGGCTTTGATACCATATTTAGCATATCTTGTTTAATCTACAAAAAATAATTAAGTGAAGCCTAAGCATAAGAGAGCTACTGATGTAGTTGCTAAAGTACTGAGCTAGAAACTAGCATATAATAAGTTCTAGTCCTCCCTTATGAATGAAAGCTACCTAGTTAACTTTGGGACAGTCACTGTTTCTCAGCCCAATTCATTTCACAGGATATTATTATGAGGAAAATAGGGGGATATGGGTATCATTATCTCCTTGGAATAAATAATAATAATCATTACTTACACCAATGTGAATTGTACAAACTAAAGGTGGGATGTAGATTTAATGATGATGATGAGGATGATGATGAGGATGATGAGGATGGTGAGGATGATGATGATGTAACCTTTTCAAATTATAGATTTGTCTCCTGTAATCATTTGGAAGAGTAATGGTTTACTCACCCTCATCTTTGCACAGGCATCTTGTGTAGATTCTGTACCTCTTAATTCTTTTACCAGCATAGAACCTAAATACTTAAAGGATACACAAATAATTTGTTTTCTTTAGTTAAGAACAGTGTTAATAATTTAAGTTTTGAAGCAGATTTGCTATTCCATTTTTTGTACTGAATAATAGCAATAACATTTAGACTTATATACCACTTTACAGTGCTTTACAGCTCTAAGCGGTTTACAGAATCAGCCTATTTTCCCCAACAATTTGGCTCCTCATTTTACCAACTTCAGAAGGATGGAAGGCTGAGTCAACCACGAGCCAGTGAGCCGGCAGTCAGCAGAAGTAGCCTGCAGTACTGCATTCTAACCACTGTACCACCGCAGCTCATGATGATCATAATCATGATGTTCTCCAAATATTCTGACGAACTACCTAACTGGTAAATGGATCTGAAACAGTAAAATTTCAACTTTTTTGTAACATTTGAGCAAGCTGTCTTTCTCTCCCCTGGCTCTTTTCCTTGCCTCATTTTCAACTAGTTTTGTTCCCCACTTTTGTTCTCCTTCCTTAAATAGCTACCTCTTCACTTTGATTTGGCTAGTTAACCAACCCCAAAATATCCTTTTCAGTCATGTTGGTGCATATACATTTAGAATTTTATAATTCTAGAACTCTGAATGTTCATAACACTGGAATATCTTGTTGAAAACTTTTTAATCATACAAGCATACATATAAGTCTTTGACTTATAACCACAATTGAGCCCAAATCTTTTATTGCTAAGCAAGACAGTTGTTAAGTGAGTTTTGCCTCTTTTACGACCTTTCTTGCCACAGTTGTTAAAGCGAATCATTGTAGTTGTTAGATTAGTAACATGGTTCTTAAGTGGAATCTGATTTCCTCATTGTCGTTGCTAATCAGAAGATTGCAAAATGTGATCATATGATCCTGGGACACCACAACCATCATAAATACCATATTTTTCAGACTATAAGACGCACCGGAGTATAAGATGCATCATGATTTTGAAGAGGTAAATTTTTTTTTTAAGTTTTTGCACTCTGCAGGCCTCCCAAACCCTCTGCACACCTCGTTTTTTTGCAAAAAAAGGGGAGGGTGCAGAGCTCTGGGAGGCTTGTAGAGTCCTCCTAGGAGCTGCGGGAGAGCAAAAACGAGCAAAAAACGGGCCATTTTTTGTTCGTTTTTGCCCTCCTTCGCCCCCAGGAGCATTTTGCAAAGCCTCTGGACTTCCATTTTTGCAAAGGGGGCAGGCTTTCAGTAGGCCAAAAATGCTGTATTCAGTGTATAAACACACCCAGATTTTCACCCTCTTTTGTGGGGGGGAAAAGGTGTGTCTTAGTCTCCAAAAAATACAGTACATGCCATTTGCTGTTTGTCCAAATTCTAATCAATTGACCATGGAGATGCTGCAGTGGTTTAACTGTGAAAAAAGGTCGTAAGTCACTTTTTCACTTTTTTCAGTGCCACTAAAACTTCGAACGATCACTAAACAAATGGTTGTAATACGAGGACATACATTACTAGGTAATGTGTATTACCTATTCACTTCTACTGTTTATATTAGGGAGAGAAAATAATTAGCCACCTTGAGACAATCCAATTGCCTTCCCTAAGTTAAGCAATTTTCAGTTGTTTGAATGGAAACATTCTGTTTGATTAACTTACAAATGCTTTGTAATCACATGACTGGAAAATGAGTTTCTCTGGATGATGCTGCCAGTATTGTACTGGTGTTGATCCTGTAGCTTCATTAGGAGGCCTCAATGTAATCGATGGTTCACCCCAGTCTCCAGTCTGAAAATAAGTCAAATTTCCAAAACAAAGTAAGCTATAGGAAGGTTAGCTGGTAATAATGCTTTTTTGCATTTGTAATCAGTTTCTATTCACTGATTCTGAAACTGAATATTATTTACTGCATGTGTCATACACTAATAAACTAATTTACTAATACTATGTGGACATTTCATATTTCATCTGAATTTTCTGCAGCTAATGTCCAAAATATCTTAGCATTATTTAAAGGAAATTATTGCTGACATTTAGTGGTTAAGACAAGGTTAAAAACTGTGGAGACTGTGAGTTCAAGTTCTGCTCTAGGCACAAAACCACCGGGGAGACCTTGAGCTACTCACTTTCTCTCAGCCCTAGGAAAGAGGCAATGGCAAACCACCTCTAAAAAAACCTTACTAATAAAATTTCAGGGACCTGTCCAGGCAGTCTCAGAGAACCGGACATGATTGAATGGAAGGGGGTGGGGTGGGGGAATTACAAACATAATATTTTACAGGAGAAATTAAAGAGAGTTTCAGATACTTGGCTCAAAATGGGAAATTCAATTAAACAAAGCACCTGAAAATAAACACCTACAATGTTCACTACTAATATTACTACAACTAGACTTGTTTCATGGAAAAGAAAATCCTATTTTGTCCAGTGGGACTTACTCCTAAGAAAACCTATTAGTATTGTAGTATTGCACCACCCTATAAGTACTTAAAAGTACATTCTAAAGTAAACCGGTGGGACAAAAAAATTATTGTAAGTCAAATTGCTAAGCACTACAAATTAATATTCTTACAGAAGGAAAGAAACATTTTAATATAATTTTCTTAGGAGTAAGCCTGACCAAATAAAATGGAATTAATTTTGGAGCAAATCTGCAGGGTTTTCTTTTAATTCACAAAACAATTACACTTAAAAGGCACTTACTAAAACAATACATTAAATTAAATGCTAAAAATAATTTCTTAGTCTATTTTTAAGTACTTAGTCCCTGCTGAACTGTTCTTAGATGGACAGAAATTGCAACTAATCATTAACATTTTATTAATCTTTTTTAAACTTGGAAACATAACACATTAGCAAAAGTAACAGAAAAACATAATTTTTACTAATAATTCTGGTCACAAGAATGTGCTTTGATTTCTCAAGTCAGGACAAAGCAAACATAATAAGCATTATATACATATATACATATACATATATGTATCTCTCACATCTATGAGCCACATTAAAGACAAAGACAGAAGTTTATACAGATCTACAGTGACAAGCACAAGATAAAATTGAAGGCACCAAAATTTTCTGTTTAGTGGAAACCGATGCAAGACTACAGAAATTGAAGCAAACAGAAAAAGCTTTGTGCCAACATTGCTATATATTAGTTGAAGGCTGACAGTAATGCAATTCATCTTCTTTTCTTAAAAGTACTTAAAAAATATGTTGAATAACTGTTTCAACATTTGCATTCTTCCAAATGAAAGGGTTTTTTAAAATAAAAAAGTGACTAATAAAGTGGTAAGTGAGTAAGTCTCCATCCTTACAGCAGATGCATTTTTCTCTTTATCTTTCTTAATGCTGGGCAATGCCAGCATTTCTTGTGCAATATAGCAAATACATACAGAATAATGTATTTGTTAGCAAATATTAATAGTATTCAGTATTAATAATGTCAATTAATTATAGCTTGAATCAAATGCTAAACCCATGCAACTGATTTTGCAAAAGCAACTTTCTTTCCCCTTTCCCCAAGTAAGATGGAAACATTTATGACTGGAACTCTGATTCCCTAAGGGAAAATCTCCTCAATTTGTATGGATCTGTGTCATTTCAGGCTCTCTATTCAACATAGCTACCAAAATGTCTACCGTATTTTCTGGCGTATAAGATGACTTTTTAACCCCAAAAAATTATTTCAAAAATCGGGGGTCATCTTATACGCCGGGTATATCGAGCACACCAATTCCAGCAGCTGCGTTTTGCCTTGAAATTTGCTGTCCCGGCAACCCAAAGGGGACATTCTCCCAGCGGCATCTCAGGCACTCCCACCTTAGCCGGGATGGAGTGAGGACGGCTGGGCGCAGTTTCGAGCAAGAGCCGTGGGACGCAGGGACATGCAGTCACTAGAGGCAGGGGAGGCATGGCCTCACCAGTCATGAGGAAAAGGAAAGAATTTTAAAGAATTTTTTAAAAATAATTAA